TAATTGCAGTGTTCTTAATCTTTATAAGTTAGTAGTACTGTTCGGGTTTACAGTGTGGGGGCGTGTTAGAACGAGCCGTTTTAGGTAGGCGTGGCTGACTCTGAACTTTTATAAAGAATATCTCTTTGGATTTGAGACTTAAGTCTTTGCAACTTTACAGATCTTTATGCACCAAGAGCTTGTAACACTCCAAAGAGAAAGGAAAACTTGAAATCGCATCATATGACACCTTTAAGTTATATCTTCACAGTTATATATTCACATTATTAACGTTATTCTCTCTTTTTTTAAATTCTGTTTCCAGGTGCTGTGCATGATTACTGCTCCGGTGACCATGATCCTCTCCTCTCAGCAGGACGCTTCATTTGCATTTGCCTCTCTGGCCATAATCTTCTCTGTCTACATCACCCTCGTGGTGCTCTTTGTGCCCAAGGTACAAGCACTTCCCTGCTTCATATCACTTCCACATTCATGCTGGTTCGTCTTTATGCAGACACAGATTTCTCATTTTGTCTGATTTCGGTTCTTTCCCTTGGCACAGTTTCGTTTTTTGCATAAGTGTGTTAGGTTTACATTTTCGATCTCAACAAGAAAGTGTTTCCTCAGAACAGTAAAGTGATCTTTATCTTAGAGAACACTTTCTGTTTTAAACTTTTGATAGTTTTTGTTTTTACTCAGCACTGGCAGATGCTTGATTCTGATTGGTCAATCACAGTATTATGTGGTCAAATTTTCTTTATATGAATTTAGTTTTTATAATGCCTGTTGAACTATAAATATCATGTGAAACACATTTCTGCTAGTTTCTCTTGTAGCACTCTGTGGCAGTGTGAAGTGTTATATATTATATTTTGTATTCAATTATAAATAATAAATATTGAATATTGAATTAGCGTTTTTTTAATTTACAGTTTTCACTTTTAATTTTAGTTTATTTTGTGGTAATTTTATATATTCAGTTTTTCTTTTTAAATTTAGTTTATTTTTTAATAATTTAGTTATGTGCTTTTGTCATTTTTAATCTTTTTTTTTTTTTAGTATTACTATTTAGGTTTAATTTAGTTTTATGTCATTTTTATTTCAGTTGCAGTTTTTATTTATTTCCAGTTAATTATTTTAGTGCTGAAACTTAAACTAAAATCAGTTAGTAGCCAAGCAACATTATTAAATTTTGTACGTTTTTTTTCTTGTAATATTTATTTTAAATTTTATTTCAGCTTTATTTTTCAATTAGTAAAAAAAGTTTTGTTAATGATAATAACCCTGCTTTGCGGTCTCCTTCTCACATAAGTTAAATAATAATTTTAATCAGTATTTCATGTCCATTTATTTATTTGTTTATTAGGTAAGTAGCCGTGTAATAAGCCTGATAATGTACAAAAGCAGAGGTTTATCGCAGAATAAACCCTTCAGGCTGATTTATTTTGCGACTGCCTGGCTGTAAATGATCCCTTACTTATTACCCGTCCTCTCCTGCACAACATCACCCATATAAACTATTGATTTCAGTGACATTTCATAAATTCAGTGAGCGTTCCCTGCGGCGTCTCATAGATGTTAACGGTCGTTTCTGCAGATACGGCGTTTGATCACTCGTGGCGAGTGGCAGTCGGAACAGCAGGACACGCTGAAAACCGGCTCGTCCAACAACAACGATGAGGAGAAGTCAAGACAGCTGGAGCGCGAGAACAGGGAACTCCAGAAGATCATTCAAGAGGCACGTGCTCCTTCTCTCTCCCTCCATCCATCACTTCCTCTTCTCCTCATGTGCTCGTCTTAATTAACAGCATAATAGATTAACAAATTAACGCACGGAATGGGATCCCAGAAGGGTAGAATGAATTACTGAAATTATATCGTACTCGTCCTTGTCTTTGACCTTCTGAGTTGTTCATTCATTAAGGCCAGAATATGCTTTATTATAAGAGGAAATGTAAGGGACCAAGCAGTCAAAGCAAGGAAGACACAGAAAATTACCCAGGGAAAAAAAGTATTTTGTTTAATAACTCTTTACAAAAAAAAATCACCCAAAAAGTATTCCAAATGAAAAAAACACACTTAGGCCTAAAAAAAGGTCAACAAATCAGAACTAAACTAAAAAAAATAAAAAAAAAAAACTCAGAAGAAAAAACCTACAGTTCATTAATCCTTTAGTACTGGTGAACGGAACTAAATAGCGGTGAAAAGCATAAAGTATTTGAATGACAAATAAACTGAGTCTGATACTTTATGTATAATGTAATATTCAGATAAGTTTGTGAAGCATTACGTGAACTGCAACATATGAAACACAAAACGATATATGTGACCCTGGACCACAAAACCAGTCTTAAGTCGCTGGGGGTATATTTGTAGCAATAGCCAAAAATACATTGTATGGGTCAAAATTATTGCTTTTTCTTTTATGCCAAAAATCATTAGGGCATTAAGTAAAGATCATATTCCATAAAGATATTTTGTAAATTTCCTACCATAAATATATAAAAACTTAACTTTTGGTTAGTAATATGCATTGCAAAGACTTCATTTGGACAACTTTAAAGGCGATTTTCTTAGCATTTAGATTTTTTTGTACCCTCAGATTCCAGATTTTCAAATAGTTGTATAAATCTCAATTTAA